CGGCACGCCTTGCTAATCATTCCTCCATATCCATATCCACCACGTCGTCGTCGTCATCGTACTCATCACGGTCGTGAGTAGGTTCAGCCTCCCCGTCCAGCAGTTTCTGCTTGGCAATGGCAGCAAAGCCCTCTTCGGTCTCATCAGTGAGCTTCAAGGGAGCTGTGGCATCGTCAGCGACGATAGCCTCTGCTACTTCTGGGAGAGCAGCGGCCAGGTCCCGCATGCAATTGCACAACTTTTCAAGAGACTTGTCAAATGTTGGGTCAGCCAAGACAGTGCGTGCACGTTCCGCTGCAAGACCTTTCGACAAAGACAGGTTGGTAGCTGTAATAGGGCCGACAACAACTACGTCATGCACGACCACAGAAACGCTATCATTTCGCCGGAGCTCGGGATTGCTCTGTGTCTTCCTGAAAAAGAGTCATGAGGGTCCTACAAGCATATCCAGGAAACTCACTGGAAGGATATCCGCCTGCATCCCGCTGCAGCTGCCCAGACCATCAACTCAGACACAGGGTCCCGAGGAAGATCTGTCGTGAGGACTTCCAGCACATCGCTGATCACCGCTTCGACTATGACCGCTGTTTTCTCAAAGTCGAAACGGGTGTCAACTAAGACTGCTCCAACAATACTTTCCAGCACGTCACTCAGTGCTTTCGGTGGGTCATATTTCCATCCCTTGCTGATAGTATCCTCAGGGGAGAGAGACGTAAGCAAAGGAACGTGTCTTGTGATCGCAGTGCTTAGTTCAACATTGTTGATAAGCAGATGTTTGTGAAGCCCGAGCCGTCTCACAGCGACAGAGGCTAGGGTTGGCCCGCATACAGCTCGCGAGCGAGCAGCTGATAGTTGACCTGAGGTGGCTTCAGGGAACTTGTTAAACAAATACTTCATGACGACGAGGTCAATGACAGCTTAGCAGATCATCAGTTACTGGCTCAGAAGCGAGGCATCGAGTTTGCTCACCATCGCCCAGAAATTCCAATCGCTGATAAGATGATCCAGCAGTAGTTGCGAAAGAGGGGTGGGTTGCAGCTTCAATTAAAAGATCACCCCGATGAAACTCGTATCCAAGATTGGCTTGAAGGTCATCGAAAAGAGGTGGCACGGGCGACGGTTCCGGCGGACGAGAGTATCGCAGCGTCCAGGGAATAGTGCCACCCACAGTCATACCTAGGGCATCTCCCGCACGGAGTGCCATATCCATCCCACCATGCAAAAAGGCAGCTCCTAACGTTGCCTCCATACAGTCTTGTAAGCTTCGACGAGGGTATGCTCGATGAGCATGCCGTCTCGCAGAAGTAAAAGGCTCCATGCGATCACCATCTTCTGCGATAGTATGGCGCCATACGTGGAGACTCTGACCTTCCGAGGTGAGGTACCTCTCAAGGCTAATCTCCAATGCCCTTGCCAGCAGAGTCCGATTGGACACACTGTTCTGGCGCAGCTGAGACAGCTGCCCCTCATGCCGGTGGGGGTACTTGTTCATGACATGAACGGTGGCGGCAAGCTTGAGGACGGAGTCTCCCAGCGTTTCCAAACGCTGGTTATTCCACGTTGCACTTGTCGTGGGCAAGGTCGACGCCTCAATGAGAAGCTCGTCCTTAATGGCGGGTAACCCAAGCTCAAACCGTTCTTCGTGAGCACGGTACAGGTCTGTAGCACGGCGGCATATGCGTGGAAGGAAGAGAAATGCACGGTATACGTTTTCCGAGAAATACGTGCGTCGACAGGCTCCTTGAGGGACAAGGAGTCCCGGGCGTGCCATTTGACGCTTATACTTGTCAATGTCCTGTAAGCGGTGCATTGGTCGATACAGACCAGAAGGATGACGTGGAAGGTAAGTGGCTTCAACCAAAGGACAATCGGTCGGAACGACCGCTTCGCGAGTCTTCCTGGTCCATCTCTGTACGAAGAATTCTTCGTAGGTGGAGCAGGAAGACTCACGGGAGCCAGGTGGCGGTACAGACAGTGCTGTCAGGTCGTGTCGTATCTTGCGCAGAACCATTGCTCGTCCGAACTGATTGCAGTTCATGATCAGGGTGCGATGATAATCATCTTCAGTTACAAATGACCAGTCGTACGTTCCTAGAGGATCGCGGACAACACGCTCCACTGCGTCGAAGTCGATACAGTTGTGAGGAGTCAGTGGAACGAGGAAACAAGTGATAGGGAGAGTGATGGGCCGGCCAGTGATGCAGAACCATATGCCCATTTTGGTATACTCGTTGAGCATCTCCAACTTCTCCCATTCTTCGTCCTCGTCAAATACAAGTTCGTCAGTGCACCGCATTGTGACAAGACAGCCCTCGCTCATGATCTCTAGCGCTGGTAACTCCGTGCCAGTGACGAGTCCTGCAACGTCAACGCCGTCGATGGAAATGACGTGCATCCTCAGCCGCGGCCCCAGAGCCCAAGGATCCCGCACCGGAACATCTATGATGTCGGGTACATCACTCACATCCAAAAGCTTTCTTCCGTCCGCATCCTCTAAGTGCCTACCCTTGGAGCCAGCTGACGGAAGAAGGTAGTCGTCGAATACCCCAAGTTTATGAAGCTCCTTGACAGCCATGAATGCTACTGCACGCCGGGCTTCTCGCTTGGAACATCGGGGTGGTCCACGGAAGATCAATTTATCGATGGGAAGAGGAAGGCTGGATGGCAGCTCAAGCACAGTGGCATAGTCACCGCTGTACTTCGGAAGTGGGGTTGGCGTGAATGCGTCATGGGGGATGAGGGAACAGAGATAGTTGAGTAGACTGATAGCAGAACCGTATGTGAGCACAGCACCCGTCGAAGGAACTATATAACGCTCGCGTGCGGCCAGATCATCTGGATTCTCCTCTTCTACTTCACCTTCTTCCGAGTCAGAAGGCGTCGGGGAGGGTGGCCGAGTAGGATTTTCCCGGCTCTGATAAACACGCTTGAGCTCGGGTTCGCTGTCAACAAAAACCTTGTAACGATTGAGGTGTGCCATGTGACCTTCCTGCACCATAATGACGAAAGTGGACGTCTTGGTGCGCGCCCGACCGCGCGATTGTACATACCCAACCATATGATGTAGCGGATCAAAACGAATAACGAGGTCACAAGCCTGAGAGAACATCAGTTGGCGCATGACAACAAAATGAAATTCCTTACGGGAAAGTCAAGACCTTCCTCAGCGACTGATGTTGCTATGACTGTGAAGCGCGCCCTTAGATGAGCATGTTGACAGTTACGAAAATATTAACGCACGCAAGTTCAAAGTGCCATCACGGAAGGACCTGACAACATCCTGCTGACGTGCTAGACCCATTCCCTTTACATTGGCGGTGGCTGCATGTTTACCACGGTGCCCATGTCCACCACCATGGCCGACAAGCTCCGCACATCGAATACTGCCTCGAAGTTCTGGTATGCATGAAAGAATCTTTGCCAGACAGGCTGCCACCTGCCGTTGCTCCACAAATACAATTCCCTGAAACGTCGGAGAACAATGGTCCAGTAGCACCTCTGCAAGCGCCTTGACTTTGGGTGAGCACCATGCAAGTGGTACAGTTATTGGCACGGCAAGAGGTATGGAATCATCTTCGAAGAAAGGTCGAAATTCACAGAGGATGAAGTCAATTTGCTCGAGATTAGGAGGAATAACGATAGTAGTCTCCGACGATTCGTCGGTGTCCATGCCAGGGTATGCGTCGTCGTCATAATTAATGCGTGGCTTATCCTTGATTGACGCTTCTAGGTCATTGATGATCTGTGAGATTCGTGCTTTGATATCGTGGTATAAGTAGAGGTCGGCACAATAAGGACCCAGGCTGTTTCGGGTGACATGATACTTCATCTGAAGCTTCTCCCACGGAATGGCAACGTCGGGGGAGCGGAATAAGGACACACAATCCCACAGATTAGGATGCAGGTAGATATAATTGGTAGGCGGGGGGTAGTACTCCTTGATGATCTGTGTAACAGTTTATCAGGCCTTGTGTTCTAAAACTTGGGAGTATAATACCTCAAGGGGACGGGGGGAGTTATGAAGCAGCTCCGAGACATGCTCGCGCACTGCAATGACAATAGCGTCAAGGTTCCTCTCGAGTGTCATGAGAGATCCCTGAGCATCTTTTGGATTCCAAATGGGAGATGCAGTCATGCCAAACACCTTTGGGCGCTGGAACGACGGAGTTTGGAAATATTCCCTCATGATGCCATTATACGCGTGATTTTTCCTAGTGTGATGACACTCGTCAAAGACGAGAAGAGAAACCTGTCTTGCGCGTAAGAAAGTTTAGTTTCAAGAGAAGGTTAGTTGAATACCTTGTCGATGCTCCAGTGGGAGTGTGTGACTATGTTTAAGAATATCTGTGCTAATAACGTTGCGTCGGTCATCAAAGGGAAGCTATGATGGAGGTACATACCAGTCATGACGACGACGTCAGACTTCTCGAAGGATGATCTCCAATTGGCACGATCAGTAAGCTCCAGATCGAGAGATCCATGGAACTTCTTGACTCGCAAAGGAGTGTGCGCGGCAATGAAGTTGGCCTGTTGTTCGACCAGAGCTACCTTGGGTACCAGAAAAACAATGACTTTGCCGCGAGCGCTCTCTTGTAGCACGATCCATTTGATGAGCAAAATACTGATGAAAGTCTTTCCACTGCCGGTGTCGAGTGCTGCAATGACATTACATTCTTGAGCGCGTTGAAAAATCTCCTCTTGATATCTTCGAGGGAGAATGGCCTCGTTGACGGATTGTATGGAGGAGTCTTGAGTGATGGTCATTGTAATTGAGATGAATGGTATTGAATACAGGGAAAGATCAATTAACCACTCCGCATACTATATACAGGATGAAGCTCTGAAGGGAATGATGGTAGAAGAGTCGACTAGTAAGATCTTGCTGGTGATGACAATAATATGGGCGTGACTCAGAGTCACGTTCTCGGAGACTAAAATGTCTGGACGAGGGTTGGCCTCGAAATGACCGTGGGAGATTATCCGCACCTTGCCGACCCCTAGATTTGGGCACTTTTGCTGACCTCATCTTCACTGTGACAATGTCCGGACGACCTCAAGATGATAGAAACCAGGAGGCTACTGTATACTTGGTATGCGCTCCTTTCAGCCTCATGCCACGGTCTTATATACTCACTCATAGATAATAGGGTAATCTCGATGAACGCTGCACTGATGCACTCATTTGGGAGTTGATGCTGCAAGCAGGGCCTGTTGGTGAGCAAGTCGTCCAATCTACCACCTATTCAAACTAATGGTATATAGTAAACGTGCATCTTCCAAAGGATCGTATTTCAATGGCTCATCAGGGGTACGGTTTCTGTGAGTTCTTGACGGAGGAGGACGCCGAGTATGCATGCAAAATTATGAACCAGATAAAATTATGGGGCAAGCCCATACGGGTGAATAAGGCAAGTTGTTTTGAATGTTGTTTCGGAGGTATATACTAATCATATCTCTTATGCAGGCATCATCCGACAAAAAACAATTGGATGTAGGAGCAAACCTCTTCATCGGCAACTTGGACGAGAATGTGGACGAGCGACTGCTATACGATACGTTCAGTGCGTTTGGTATGATGGCTACGACAGCAAAGGTACGTACCAAGTACCAAAACAACTCTCCGTCTTCACTAACAGAATTCGATAGATTGCACGAGACCCTGGCACGGGGGTTTCAAAGGGTTATGGCTTCGTCTCATACACTGATTTCGAGTCTTCCGACGCTGCAACAGAGTCAATGAATGGCCAGTTCCTGATGAATAAAGCCATTACTGTGCAGTATGCGTTCAAGAAAGACGGCAAAGGCGAACGTCACGGCACCTCAGCAGAACGTCTACTCGCCGCACAAGCACGGAAGAACAACGCGCTTCCCATCACCTCCCGTCCTCCTCCTGCGCAGATGGCTTTTGGCGCTCGTCCTCCTATGCCGGGATTTCAGGGTCCCTACCAAGGGCAGTTTGCTGGTGTGCTTGCTCAGCCACCACCTCCGCCTGGTTTCAACCCGCCGCAGACGGTTGTTCCACAAGGCATCCCAGTGATGGGAGGGATGCCACCTGTAGGCATGGGAATACCGCCTCCACCGCCCAACATATCCATGTTTCCTCCTGGAGCTTTTCCGCCCCCACCGCCTGGTTTCGCCGTGCAAAATGTGCCCGGGGCTATGGTTCCGCCGCCTCCTCCTGTACCTCCTTATTGAGCAGTGGGAAACAATGAGTGAATACATGTCGCTGATTTTGCAATATAGTCTTTCTAAAACATCTGACTGTTTTCTTGTGTATGTGAGGTTCTCAAGTATGCGTGTCGCTGCAAGAAGCTGAGGTGCTTCTTGAGTCACTCTTGCTCTTTCCTGTGCTTTGTGTTGCTCGAGGATGGTCTTACAGTCATTTGCATAACGCTAAGATAGCGGGCTTGTGGGTTAGATCTATCTTTCTATTCAGGCGTTTATAGGAATATGGACGTCCACAATGTCTAGAGGCCTGTAGACAGGTAAAATGTGTGGCGTGGGATTGGGGCATGCCGCCCAAAGCAACTGCGTCAGTTCCATTACAAACGCGTCTCAGCATTTCTTGAACAGTGCGTATATCTTGTGGAGGTGCTCGACGTTATAGCTAACTGTTGTCAGGGATTAGAATCTGGGACTACGTGGAACATGCACTCACGAATCCTATTCACCAGATGCAGGCGCCGTCTCTGTAGGGTGACATCCACTCAATTGTCTCAAATTAGGTGTGGGACGGCATTTCCGGTACTCGCATCACCTTTGACGTATTTGAAATGCCGGAGTCGAGCGAAATGGCCCGAGTGACAGAAACCCGAACCTCCAATGTGCATTGCTAATAAAGCTTTTGGATACACCGAGAGTCCAGGTAATTCAAGGCGTCAAAGCTGAATCGATCCAACGCGAAGCAGTTGACCGCAATTATAGAGGATATTTGTAAATGGGTTAGGTACAATATGTGGTTTTGTTACCCCCAAGGGCCCCAAAACATATTAATGACTTGTGATCATGCGGGATTTCCGTTATCTATGTCTAAAAAACCATATATATAAGGTATTTTAGACCCATTGGACTCACTCACAAGCGTATATTTACCTCTATGTATATCTCTATAATATAACTTATCTTGTATATTACTATTCATTCGACAGATCACTTAGGCCGCCGATAGTACCGTCTGAACGGCGTCGTATACAATGGATTACATATAAAACACATACAAATATACAAATACAAATATATTTGTAGTCAATATGGCCGCCGTTGGAACGGTCTGGACGGGGGGACGAATTGTTGTAGTTGAAAATATTTCATACGAGTTATGCAGGCATGTTATTTAATTGTACTACGGTAGGTATATATATAGATCTACTATACGAGCGATATCACAGGACTAATGTAAATTATAATATAAATTCACTATGTATACTAAGATATATACTAAGATTACAACGATAAATACAGACAGAGAGATAATAATCGTCACGTGATTGAATCACATGACCATCGCTGAAACTCAAAGTACTAAGAACATGAGGCATAAGTAAGAACATGAGGCGACGGCGTAGCGTGCATGGGGCAAAGGGTCCAGGGTTATTAGAAAAGGAGCCGGATAGCGATAAAATCAATTGTTAGACACTTACCATCACATCGATTAAAGATCAGGACTGAAAATACATATCGACATGCCCCCCAAAGCGTCGCGCAAAGGGAAAGGAAAGAAATCTGAAGCAGCAAATGTAAGTGTACAATGGGTATACCTAGAATTAACAACACAAACTGATGATCAATGGGTGTAACAGGAAGGAGGAGGATCAAGCTTTCACCTTGACACCAGACCGGTGGAGGCGGTCGCTCCCAAGCACGATGCTGGGAAGGAAATCGAACGTCTGGACACCGAGGTGATAAAGAGCAAGGTCGGTGTCGCATGGATCAATATGTTGGCGATGGGCGAGCGTCTAAAGTTCGGGGTCTACAACGACCGGCCTGAAAACGACGCTGAAACGCACAAGTTAATACTATCGTTCAAGCGCCATGGGATCGTGTCCATGAGAGAAATGAACGCTATTCCACTCATCATTGAGATCGACCGCGTCAACAATGCGGAAACACTTCCCTTTGATTTTAGCAGCCCACAGAATGTACCAGAGTTGGAGCTCGTCGACATGAACCCTATCATAGTGGCCTCGGGACAGCATCGACTTGCAGCACTTCGACAATACCATCAAACATTAACAGATGAGTATAGGACACTCGAGAAGAAACGCGTCAAGATCAAAGAGTTGAAGAACCTGAGCGAGGAACACATACGCACCTTCAATGAGATGCGGGAGGAGATGGGCACGATAAAAGGAATTATGGACGGTATGGGTGGATGGGGGGTCGTAATCTACGACAAAGGTGCGTTGATTGACGCGCTGGATACCGTCTGAACGGCGTGCGTATCGTGCTATGATCGATGGTGTTCCACACAAGTGTGGTATTCGATGCTTGTAATTATAATACCTCAAAACGTCCGCCGTACAGACCGTCTGGATGGCGGACGATCTGGTATTCTGGACTGGTTAGCACGCGGATAGAGCCGTCTGAACGGCGTCGTGTTTGGGGGGTCTGTGATACTTATACACCCTCTATTACAGAATCTCTGTTGCAAGGAGGAGACGAGTTAGCGAATCATCTTAGTCGAAACAATCTGTTTCACGACTACAAAGAAACAGAAGAAGAGGTACTCATTACCGTGTTGAAGAAGCTGAAAGGAGTATTGGACTCGACTCCTGCAAACACACGGCATGAACGTGCTACCACGACATTAGTGGAGATCCGAGGCATGCAAGACAAAAATACGCGGCTACTAAGAGTCCTGCACCACGAAAAACTGTGCATGTTACTGGCGTCACGTTTACTATACCTCGGTACCCACTTTCGTCGTCGTCCCGAATTTTCCGTGACGTGGCTGGCGAAAGGACTGGATGTTTGCATGGGCGTAAGTTTTTTTGATCATATGCGAGGTCGACTCACATTATGTTATGTCAGATATATTTGATGTGGATAGAGCAACGTACGATCACGTTGAGAATGCTCGGGTCTCGCTCGGCGTTTCCAAGCTATAAACAAGTGTCTGCCTTGATTGATAAGGCAGATGACGGCAACACAGACGCCCAGGCAGAGATCGCCAAGCTGCGTAAGATCATGGAGGAGTCAGACTACGGGGATGACGATAGCGAACTTACCTTGTGGGCTGAAGTCCTCGACAGTGTCGACAAACACGCTCTCGACGCATTCGACACAATTAGGGACAGCATCGGTCAGATGACCCCCACCTACGTCATGCGTTTGAGTTCGTATCGCCAGGGAATCATCAATTCTATGCGAAATAAGTGGTCCATTAACGCAAACAAAGATTACAGCCAGAACGAGAACGAAATCCTACAACACCTCGACCGAGTCGTTGCTTGTGTTGCTCTCTTCCTGACGCCAAAGGAAGGCGAAACACACGCTCCTGAACCTCTCCTAGGAGGGTTTATGATGGACTACGCTTGGTCCACATTTAACAAACTTAAGCTAGGGTTGGCTGAGGTGAGCATATCGATTGTTTCGTATAATGTTCTAACGGCAGACTTACGGTGTAAAATTACTATGCAGATATGTCGTTGGTTTGAGGTATTCCTCGACTATTGGAGGATATTGCATCCCAAGGGTCACGCCATGGACGATTGGTCGGTCGTGATGCTGTCCAATATTGCGAAGGATCCACGGTTCCCGTCTCAGAATGACGTCGCTGGCAGAGATGTAAGTATGGCGCCCTGAAATGAAATGTGAAACACGCTCAAAGACGCTAACACACCTCTAGATTGTCGATAACATTTGGGCACACAGAGGAACGTTGGTGCTCCGGCTCAACAACCTCATGATGAAAGAGAAGAAAGCACTCACACCTCGACCTAAGGATAAGAAGACGTTAGACGCTGCATTTGAGAAACTCCCTGAGAACGAGCGTATCGCTAGCGAGGCCCTTACGAAGATATTGCTATCGCACCGGTCGAAGACTGGACCCAGGAGCCGTGATTTTGCCCTTGAGCCTAAATCCATCGCTGGAATGATGGCTTTACACACTACGACCTGGGACTGGCTAAGCCCGACGATCAAGAACACTCAAAGGGATATCGACCCTTGCATGAAGGCGATTGCCGTTGAGCGGACCTACCTAGTTCAATATCGAGCAAAACTCTTGAAAGATAAGTACGTCGGCGCGCTTCGCAGGTTATTCGAATTATCACTCGAACCTCGCATGAAGAAACTTCAAACGCTCGACCCAGCAACCGGTAAGCTACGGTCTGGGAAGGTATGGGTATGGTGGGACAATTTAAACCTCACCTCGGCTCAAGGCGATCCGTCTGTCGTCTTAAAGGCCCTCGAGGACAAGACCATCACAAGTCATAAGCAAACCCAGGCTCGCCTCACACTCGAGCAAGCTGATCGCGAGGAGATCAACAAACTTATCGGTTACTTTTGTAATCTTCCATGTGTTCGTGCAACGCGTGGAACAACCTCGCTCGTCTCAGCTGACGTCATGGGGCCATTTCGACAAGTCATCCAGGTGAGTCAGCACGCCGTGGAGACGGTACCAACGGCGTCTCATTGGATGATTTCCCGTATACGCACGCGCTCCTGACCGTTCTATCGGCGTCGTTTTGTGTACTGACTTCGGTTTATTAGGGTATTGAAATTAATACTGCCAGAAAGCGTTATCGTACGCTCGAAGCAGACCCAGAAGCTGTGTTCGACCTCGCTGAAAGACCCTACAGTCTTGGTCTTGGCCTACCTGATAGCTATGCTGATCCTCACACCATAGTAAGTGTTTTGACATTAATTAATTTACTTCAATTTTATTTACGTACGTCTAATTTTCCTAAGGGTTATGGTTCTGAATACAGCGACGAGGATGACGCAGACAAGGACGAAAACCCTCAGGTTGCTAAGTCTGTCACTCAGAAAGGTAAAGGCAAAGGTAAAGGTAAAGACAAAGGCAAAGGCAAAGGCAAACAACGTGCCGTTCAAGTCGTCGTCGAATCCGAGCCTTCAGCTCGCTCGACACCATTGGTCACATTCACTGGTCCAACCGTCATCGAGGTCATCGATTCCAATGTTCCTACGCCAGCTGAAATGCCTGCTGCCTCCTCACCGTCTGTCTCTGCACATACACCAACAGTTGAGGCTCCTCTTCCTCCTGCCAGTACTATGCCCGTCTCTACGCCTGTCGTTGCACCATCAGTACCCTTGCGTCAAACCACTGCAACGGTCGTCCCAAAACCTCGCCCTGTTCCTCGCAAACATGTCGAAATTCCCGTGCAATCGGTCGATGAACATAACGTCGAGGTGTCTCCGGGCGTTACGACTCCCACAACCTCTCGTCCTGCACCTGTACCTGGAAACGTATGCCCTCTTCCATCGACCGACCCAGGTCAGTCTTGATTTATTTCCTCAGTCGTAGTCCTCTCCTCATTGTCTAATCGTTATATTGCTAGATACAAATACAACACCTCGACCAACAAACTCTGCACTCGTAGAGACTTGTGAACAAGAGGATCCAGATGGTGACAAGGAGATGACAGACGCGGTGGACACCGTTCTATCGGCGTCTGATACGCTTGGTATGTATTCAATTTCATATTTCAGTGGTCATTGGTATCTAACGATCTCGTTCATACATTATAGGTAATTTACTTCAAAGTACACTCCCGTCAATCACTCCGTCCCCGCAGGACATCATAGATGGCTTCAGCGCCGATGACATCGGTTGGTTCAACCCCGACGACAACGACAACGAAGAAGACGACGACAACGACGAACCTATAGAACAATACGAACCAGAGTACGAACCGGACGACATTCAAAGCGAGGATCATAGCGAGCCAGATGATCCCGATGATGCTTGTGAGCCCGCCGTCCAGACGGTATCCACCGCGTCCATTTGTTCATTTTCATATTCTTTTGTAGCGTATATGCCCACACAACCTTTGACTCAACAACTCCCACCTCGTCGCACTGGTTCGTCTCATTTTAATTGTATTCTATCGTATATCAGCTAACCTAACCCGTAAAGAACGACGCGTCGCTTCGTCTTCAGCCAAGCGTTCCCGTGCTGCCACAGGTGCGTTTCTATTTCCGTTCGCATCGCGTATATCAATCGCTGACTTCGTTCAAAATATTTATCATTAATCATCATATCAAAATAATATTATAGGTGCTTCGTCCTCATCCTCGACCCAAGGCCGTGGCAGTAAACAGAAGAAGAAATCCAAGGTGGCCGTCCAAGGATCTTCTGAGGATGAGGCTGACAATACAATTGTTCCAATGTAAATGTAATGTAGCTTTGCTGCCCTTGCCTTTCGCCTATGCATCATCTCTTTCTTTTGCTCTTGCAGTTGTAGTTGTATTTGTGCTCTCTCTTCTGTATGTCCCTGCGTACGTCTTGCTGGTGTTGTTCGTTGTTTCAATCTTTTGCCGTTGCAGTAGTCTCTCTGTTGAGCATATGTTTGATGTCTGCCAATGCTAATGTGTTCTGCTCGTTCGACTTTCGTCATGTGTGTGACTTTCCTCCCAATCATTGACTCATTCAGCAACTCCTCTCATGCTCCCGTTTTTGCCATGTTGTCCAACATTGCAGCATCTCGTTGTTTTAGTAGTACGCCCTGCAATCTAGCAACGTCTGGTTCGTCCAAGTGTTCTCCCCAGGCGTTCTCCTTTGTATCCCCCTGTATGCACTCTCTTTTTATTACTAACTATCTATATCTGTTTCATCGTTGTCCTGCGCTGTAGTTCCATTCCCACTCGTGCTATCGCCTGCCATACCAGCAATGTCTTTCCGCCCCAATTTCATTTGGTGCGTCATTTCATTTCATTCGTGTTCTTACTAGTAGTACATTCTGTCTCTCTATCCTCGCCCATATCGTTTCCACACCTCTTTTCTTTCTTCGATCGCCTGCATCTACGACGAGCGCGACTTTTAATCTTGTTCAAACGTTGACTTGTCGACTCCCAGCCACAGTCTCGTACGTTCGTATTCCCTGCTTTCTGTCTTTCGTTTTCTCCTCTTATCACAAGTCATTATGCTCATTCATTTCGCCTCTCCAGCTTTACCCATCGTCTGTCCTACCTGTTTCAGTCTCCAACATCTCTTCCTTCCCTATCGTCTGTCTGCCGGTCAGAGCCTCTGTTTTTCCATCGCCTCTCTGTTTGGCTCACCTTCCCCGTCTTTCATCAGATCTATCCCGCGTATCTTGACTATATCGAATCTATATCATTATCTCGACGTTTTCCCACTCACGCATTCATCTGCTCGCTCGCCTCCTCTTTTGGTCTATAGCCTGTCCATTTTCATCCAATCCTCGCAATTGCCGGTTGCCATGCGGTCCCTGCCCTGTCGTACTAACCTTTTAAGACTTAATTCACTGCTAAAGCGTCCCTCGGCGCTAAACTCGGTCTCTCGTCAATTGATTGTACTTCCGTTCTGGTATGCTCCGGGTAACCTTAATTCATTCTACCCATGATTTTGCAAGTCCATTAGAGTTAAGGCTGGGTTATGGTATATCTAAAACAGCCATATTGCGCAAATATGCACATGTCAGATTTGCGCAAAATTGACCCCTCATATTGCGCAAAAATACAAATGTCAGATTTGCGGCAAAATTGACCCCCTCATATTGCGCAAATATACAAATGTCAGATTTGCGTGATATGGACCCTTCATATTGCGCAAATATACAAATGTCAGATTTGCGTGAAATGGACCCCTCATATTGCGCAAATATACAAATGTCAGATTTGCGCAAAATTGACCCCCTCATATTGCGCAAATATACAAATGTCAGATTTGCGTGAAATGGACCCTTCATATTGCGCAAATATACAAATGTCAGATTTGCGTGAAATGGACCCCCCATATTGCGCAAAAATACAAATGTCAGATTTGCGCACAATTGACCCCTCATATTGCGCAAATATACAAATGTCAGATTTGCGTGACATGGACCCTTCATATTGCGCAAATATGCAAATGTCAGATTTGCGTGAAATGGACCCCCCCCATATTGCGCAAATATGCACATGTCAGATTTGCGTGAAATGGACCCCCCATATTGCGCAAATATGCACATGTCAGATTTGCGTGAAATGGACCCCCCATATTGCGCAAATATGCACATGTCAGATTTGCGTGAAATGGACCCCTCATATTGCGCAAATATGCAAATGTCAGATTTGCGTGAAATGGACCCCTCATATTGCGCAAATATGCACATGTCAGATTTGCGTGAAATCAACCTCCTATGTTGCACAAATATACAAATGTCAGACTTTTGCAAAATTGACCCTCTCATATTTGCAAAAATACAAATGTCAGATTTGCGTGACATGGACCCTTCATATTGCGCAAATATGCAAATGTCAGATTTGCGTGAAATGGACCCCCCATATTGCGCAAATATGCAAATGTCAGATTTGTGCAAACTTGACCCCTCATATTGCGCAAATATGCAAGTGTCAGATTTGCGCAAAATCGACCCCTCATATTGCGCAAATATGCAAATGTCAGATTTGCGTAAAATCAACCCCTATGTTGCACAAATATACAAATGTCAGACTTTTTGAAATCAACCTCTCATATTTTGCAATTTGGAATTAGAATGGAGTCACTGGAATCAGTTCAGACATGGTGTGATATATGAGTGTATTATTATGTAAGCTTGCTATTGTGATATGAGTCAAACTGGTATCCTACAGTGAGGTCTTGAGATTTGGTTAGAATTAAAACTAGTGCAAGTCAGGAGGTGTGCATAAGGAAAATCCCACACATAGAGCTTGATATTACTAAGCTTGTAAACCTTGATATACAGCCATCCAAAGTTTCAAAAACACAAGTTCTGAGTTTCTCGATAGTGGCCTAAGAGTCTGTTCGGACATCATTTTCGCCAACCAACTTTGAAATTCCAACGTAGCCCATACAAGACCAAATAGTCCGAGACCAAAAATAATGTCGCGCTGATCATGCTGATACAATATGATAGTGGTCGCTGAGCCTATTGTACAACACAATGCATCCTAACGACCTCAATGCCAAATTTGATCTACTAGACCCACTAGACAAAGATGATGTCGACATCGAAGACAGTGCGGATGAAGATTCCAATTGTGCTGATGCGGTAGACTCCGACCGACTGGACGTAAATGAGCTGCACTGGATAGACAAGATGTTCCATGGTGCTGCTCGTGTAGCAATGGCTATTGCTGATGCTGCTGGGCAGGTACTCCAAGGTCACTCGCAAACTCACTACAACAAGCAACCCTATTATACTTCAGCCTTGTCTGTAATGGCATGGGTCAACGAACTCCTCGCACGACATCCAGACCACATACGATGCGAACTTGGCATGCAGCATCATGTATTCTATTGTACTATTGAATATACTTCACGATTCAGGGTGCAGAAATTCAAAACATGTCACACTTGAGGAGCAGCTTGCCATCTTCTTGTATGCATCTGTCACAGGACTCTCTGTTCGCCATCTTGGTGAATGCTTTCAATGCTCCAATGACACAATAGCAAAATATGTTATCCCTTAGTGTCATACATTTGCTTATTGTTTTGAACGTATTTCAAACATATTCTCAACGCATTTTCCTCCCCCCCGATTTATTCATTGTATGTCCAGCTACCCAGCGCAGACAGTCCAATGCCTCTCAAAGTCCTTTGAAACCCGAAATTCTACTCATACTTTGCCAATGCTGCCGGCGCCATAGATGGTACTCATATTGCATGCCACCCTAGTGGCAAGGATCGCGATGCAACTCGCGATCGTAAAGGCAACTTGACTCAAAACTGTCTTATAGCCTGCTTCATTGTCGCTTGGCACTTCTCTGTCTTCTTGACCATACAAATGCCTTTGCTCTACCTTCTCAACCATACAAACACCTCTGCTCCACTTTTCCCTGAGCTTGTTACATAATCATTATCAGACAGTACAAAGTCTTGCTCCGTCTTGCAGTCACCTCAGTATTGTTTCCATGACATACTGAGGTGAGTAGATACTCCTATGTCCATTCTTCTTGAGTACTGATGTATCACACCAGTGTGTTCTCCGCTAGATCTACTAGTGTCTACAGGTTATGAGCCCTGAGCTCTAAAGGATCTCTGACCCACATGCATGCTAACTAATCTCAAATTCATCTAACGGACGAACCCGCATCTATCATTTCTCTACTATGAAAAAATATGATCATATCATCAAGCTCACTGGCTTGGACGTTTACCCGGTATGGCGCAGGACTGTAGAATTGGCCCTAGCCAGTGAAGGAATATGCAACCACTGTAGCAATGGCACTGACCCTGACGATGTCATAGAATTCGCCAGTGTGATGCCCAAGATCGCTACGCCAGGACAGCCTACGAGCACCGAACTTTCTTCCATCAAAGAGTGGGTGCACGTCGAAGATTCACAGAGATGGAAGTCGCCATTTCGGACCCAGAAGCTGTCTGGATGCTCTTACATGGGCTACCTGAAACCCCCCAGTGGGTCGAAGTCTTACTCTTGGGTTATACAAGGCTCCCTCATTCTCCACTTCTGCCAAGTCCATCACTCCCCTACAAGTCTCGTTCGAAGATGTTGCAACAGCATTCGCTGAAGAAGCTAATCGTCAATGTGGACAGCTAAAGATGGCACTCACTGGACCAGGATCAGAATACACCAACATTGTAACTCCTACCTCGACTGAACTGCAAAGTCAACCCCTCCAATGGCGTGTGGATACACAAGCACAAACCCAAGGGGGTGCCTTGTGACAACCCAGCCTGCACTGGACTACTGCAGTCCATGACACACGATCGCGATCACTGCATGCAATCTGGAGGGGGAATGGAAGGAAAAGCACCCTGGAGCAGTCAGCAACGAGGAGGAGGAGGAAAAAGGAAGGATGTCGCAGCTGTGGTAACTGAGGCAAAGCCTATGCCCTCACCGTCCATGTCATCTCCATCCGCTTCCAACACTCCTTCAACACCTTCAGAAATGACCGCTCTCATCATTACAGCACCTAGTCATGACTATGCATCGGACTGTTGGGAATGCATCGAACGGTAAAGGAATGTGTCGGAAGTGTGTCGGGTTGTTGGTCAAATGAGTGTCGGATGTGTCAGAATGTTTCAAAGAAAAAGAGTGGATAGATATTTTGCAATACAATCAAGTACTTATATGGTCAAAACAGAAATAGGTTTCAAACTTTGGAAAAAATATCTTTTCCTGGGCTGGTACATCTTTTACAGGCATCTTCCAGGAATTATATGAGCCAAGAATTAAGAAAAACGGCGGTTTGGATATGGAGATATGGTCGAAATACTGACATTTCCATCACTTCACCAAATCGCAATTTTGGAAGCCTAAATATGGCCTGGAACCATTTCCAATCCATTCTCTATGCTTGAAAACCCCAGTCAATGCTGTTACAGTATCGAAATTTACATATTATCTGGATATATGAGCAGGAGGGAGGAGGGGGACCTTGGGTATCTTAGAAATATGATTTTTTCTGGACAATCTGGCTTATACAATCGTCTTCAGCTGGTTAGATAACCTCGGAAACAATTCCTGCATCAAGCACAGCAGGTGATATGAAGGCTGTAAAAATCGATCTATGGGGGAGGCAGCATGACCAGGGTGGCCAACTTTGGAACTTGATTTTTTCTTGAAAATCTGGGTCAACCATCTTTTTCAGATGGTTCAATAAACTCAAAATAGAGTCCTGCATCAACCACAGCAAGTGATTTGAAGGTTGTAAAAATCATTCTACAGGGGAGGCAGCATGATAGGGGTAGTCAACTTTGGAATTGGATTTTGTTTCGAAAATCTGGCTCTACCATCCTTTCCAGAGGGTCAAATAACCTCATAATCAAGTCCTAAATCAACCACAGCAAGTGTTATGGAGGCTGCAAAAATCGATCTTAGAAGAGCATTGTGGTTACACTGCTTACATAAGCAAGAATGTTGGTCCTCTCAGAGAGGACTGATCACCCCTTTGTATTCTCACAAATATAATGAGAATATAATATTTATTACATTCATATCCAATAGTCTCTGTGGATGGTGTTGAGATCGATGTGGATGTGCATTGTGCATTGGTTGTGGTGTGGGTTTAACATTATGATAAGGTTAGGGTCACCAATGCTAGTGCTACCAATGAGACTTTTGTACACGCAGCTGGACTTCAAGGACCCCCCGAGCTTGCGAGGGAGGGAAGAAGTCCAGCTGCGTGTACAAAAGTCTCATTGGTACATTATTTGTCAATGAGAAACATGGCCAATGACATGCCAAAACACTCTGACATGATTGTCCCCAAAATTCGTGTTATTTCCTTTTATATTAGATATCTCCAGCACTAGTGGGA